ATAACATCATGCCTGACAAGATAAGGTGTTTCCTTTTCTTTCATTCACGTTTGTGTTACAAGTATAGGAACCCACTGACTGAGCAGTTTTGTTCCCTTGAGAATAAAGCAGAACTTCACAAACAATCCTACAGATGCACTTAAAAAATTAAAATAGTTGGTACTTAACGTAAGGGCTGAGTCTTGTTAAACCCAGGTAGAGCCCTTAACATAGTATACAATGTAAAGGCAAATAGATACTGTCCGCACAAGCCAATGTTACAAAATGACATCATTCTTACAGTTCTGAAAGAAAGAAACAAAAATAAACTAATCCCATTTATTTAGGTAACCAAAGGGATCTGTTCATTCTTAAGCTCCCCAGCCTCCCCCCCACGGCACCGGCCGTACACGCCAGAGGTGTAATGTCAAGTCGGTCCGGTGGCAGACCGCTCTGTGGAGCTGCATGGTTTGAGTTATGACCATGCCCAGGTCTTGCAAGTTTAATGAGGTTCCTTCTCGCACACAGAGACACCACACACAGCGCCAACCGGGAAACAATAAAGTAGGATTACAGGTGTAGCTTCTTGATGCGTTAAACCTACAGATAGACTGAAAAGCTAATCTACATTTTTAGCCTAAGACTGGCAAAAGCTTTCTTCATTTAACTGTTGTTAGAAACCCACCTTAATCTTCAACTTTTAACAAAACCCAACCTGGGATGCTTGATGTTAACAGAGCTGCATGAAAAGATTAATCGAAAGCTTTGTATGCCTCCCCTTATGCAGGCCAAACACCAAATCAGTGTTAAATTCCTCACGTGCAACTACGCCCAGTTAATCTGCTCGAAAGCAGCAAACTATGGAAATCTTTTTACCCTGGTGAGATAAACATTACATTCATCAAAAACGTAAACAAGAACCACGGTTACTGGGCAAAGCTGTTAAAAGGCACAGACACGGGGGGCTTCCCGAGCACCCAGGCTGTGGTAGGTGGGACTCCGCTCTCGCCTCCATCCCAGGCCTCCAGAGCTGCTTCTGGCTTCCTCTTGGAGAAACCTGAGAGCAGAGAAACCTCCCTGCACAAAGCTATTTAAAATCCCTAATCAAATAGCTGCACTAGCTCTGTAGATTCAAGGAGCAGATGGCAGGAGAAAGCCTAATTTTCCATTTACGATAATTTTACAGTGTGTAGAAATATTTACTTCAGAGGAGCGCCTCCCGATTTACATGAGAATAACAAAAGTGGGAGGAGGGACAGAGAATGATCACATTCTCAGCGCACACAAACTGAGAGCTGAGAAAGCCTGTATTAAGCAGGATATTGTATGTCATTTTGGTTTCCTTTGCATTACGGATGCACACATGTGCATTCTTTGCATAGCTCCAGTAACCTTGTTAGTAAAAAATATTAGCTTACGCCTACCTTTTTCAGATAGGATGCATGGCCATGAGCATTGTGATAGGTTATTATTGCAGATGCTGTATGGCTTTCGTTCTTTGACTAGACCCGAATCTGCATTTCAAGCCAATTCTCAGATGAGTTCCCACTCATTTAAGCAACATCTAACTTTCAAGCCTGGTAGGAGTATTTTTAATATGCCTGTCTGCCCATAACCCAGGAAATCCTTTTGAAAATACCACTTCAGAGACCATATTTTAGTATTCTTACAAGTACTCTAAAAGAGAGAAAAAGATTAGGCACCACCCAATCGAATCTGACCTGAAACTGAGGATGTCGACTGGCTCCTACATGCCTGGGTTACACACTGAAATAGATACAGCAGATAACAAGCATAATACTATAAACACAGATTCGTTTATAAAACAAAACATAATTATTTGGGAAAACAAAAAGAGAGTATGGGTAAAGCTCTGGACCTACTATAGCTAACTGGTATTTTGTCAATGTTTTAAAGTAAGGCAGAATTACACATAACATTACAGCGCCTTAAAAATAAAATCAAGAGAGTATCGCCTTGCCTTTTACCAAAAAAAAAAAAAAAAAAAAAATCACTTCTTATCACTATTTGAGGGGAGAAAAACTTGGTGATCTGAAACACAAAACATCAAGATTCAGAACGGCACTGAAAAACCCGAGACTTATTATTATTTCAGGAGTTACGATTTTTAAGCCAATGTGATGAGTCTTGGGGGTTTGACGACTTATCTTTAAATACTGAAAGATGCTACTAAGGCAAATTTTCTTTCTTAAACACTTTTTCTCTGACTAACTTCCCATTCCAGCAGTTTGGCATCTATTTAATACTCTGTGTGTCAGAAATTCCCATTTCGGAGATGACTCTGTTTCCATCAAAGCTGCAGCCGTACTTCACAATTTCACTTATTAACAGCCTACTGAGATAATTGGGTCTGCCCAGCTCATTAAAAATAAAATATTGATGTTTTCTTAGGGTGGATGTAATTATCTAAATAAAAAAAAAAGAGTTTCCCCTTGCCTTTTACCAAAAAAAAAAAAAAAAAAAAAAAAATCACTTCTCTTTTCACCTGAATCTGTTACAGACTCTTAAAAATTCAACAGGAAAATACTAAACTGAAAGGCTCTTGTACCACTCTGATATCACATATGTTGCAATACTAATAGAGACAAACAAACTACTCAAAAGATTTTAGTTTCATTTTTAAGTTACTTAATTTTTTTCAGCTTCATATGTTACATGCTGTTCACATAGCAAATCTAGTTTCTCCTTCCAGAGACGATGGTAGACTGCTCTTCCTACACTAACCTAGTGTCTCAGGCTAAAGCACAATTATAATTCAATTGTGTGCATATGGGTTACGCAGAGCACGCAGAGGCTTAATCTGGACTATTCTTGATGATCAAGAGTTGAAAAATTAGGCTCGTAGCACTCTTCAGGCAGGGTCTGACATCAGCTCACCCCTGCAGGTGAAGCCCGAGTGAAAGGGAGATCGGAAAGTCAATCTTTAAAGGACCTTAGTCTACATGAATGAAGTTAATAGGAGTTTTCCACGGACTTAAATGGAGAAAGGCGCAGGCCCTGGCTCCTTATGTAGGAAGTGTTTGAGCGGAGAATGGCTACACACTAACAAAAGAAACCTTTGGTACCCAGGGTCTTAAGCCCACATAATACCCCTGCATTCATTTCTTTCTCTGCCTAGTGGGGAAAAAAGGGTCTGTTTGTTTTTCTGATTCAGTCGGCCCGTTTAGCTCTTTGAATCTAAGGAGCGCACCGTGAAAAGGAGAGCATCTTACCAGCCTGCTCCAGACCAGCAGGCGAACTCGCATCCTCA